ACTGTTATACAAGCTGTACACTCACTACTTTACATTGTAGCAAAGTGTCATTTCTTCAGTGTTGTCACATGAAAAGACATAATAAAATATTTACAAAAATGTGAGGGGTGTACTCACTTCTGTGAGATACTATATATATATATATATATTAAAATCACAATAAATGTCACTTGGTTAGTTATTTTGTTATCTAATACAATGACATTCATTCATTTTTGTGTGGCTGTAAGTGGAGTGACTGTATATATCAAGATTTACATGGCATTTGAAATAGTAATTCATATTCATTCAAGATCAAAGACAGTGTTCAATACGCAAATGCAGAGAATAGCACCTGGTATTCAAGTGTGAGCTGGCAACAACCTGTAGAGGTTTCAATGAACTTCCATCATTCACATGTAAGAAGAGGTTGTCTTTCTGTGGCCTGACGGATCGAACCCATCCCTGCAGGAACAGCAAATATGGTAATGTAATGATCACGGATTTTTCTTTTGAACTCGTTTTTTTTTATTTTATTTCAATTTTAGGTATTTCAGCATCACGTTAAACTAAATTAAAAGGAGAAATACTAGGCTAGTCGAACTAAATTAAAATTTGTAAGTTAACATTTTTTTTTTATGGTTTTAGGTAAGTATAACTACCCTGGTGTATACATAAATTACCAACAGTGCTGGGTAGTTTATTTGCAAATAGTAGTCCATTACTAATTCTAAATTACATGACAAAAATTGTAGTTAGTAACATAATCCACTGCATTAAACATTTTAGGTTAAATAATTAGACTACGTTTTGATTACTTTAAGATTACATTTGACCTAACTCATTTATCACATTGATTTAAATATTCTTGTACCATATTGATATAAACATAACATTAAGGGTGTATTCACACCAGGAAAGTCCGCTAGTTCACTTGCTTTGGTCTGGACCAAATACTTTTTTGGTGTGGTTTACTTTCACACTGCCCTTTTTTGCAAGTGAACCAGAAATTGTAAACAAAACCACACGTGTGCTAAGGTCATCCATTCATTGGACAGAAATTCTCAAGCGTACCAGAGTTTGTTTGGAACCGGACCGAGACCACCTCTTCAGCTGGGTCTCGGTGCGGTTGTTTGGTCCGCACCAGACTGTGATTGCTGTATTCACACCTGCCCAAAAGATCCACACCAAGGGGGGAAACGAACTTGAGTTCGATTCAATTGAACCAAACAAGACAGGTGTGAATACACCCTAAGGTTTCCCAAACTGTGTATATATTTATATTTATATGTGTATAAATATATTAGGTGAAAGAGGTTCAGCTCACAAATAAATATTTTTTAAAAAAGGGGTTGGGAAACCCTGCATAACTTGAAGGTAAGAAATAACTTGAATTTGTGCATTTTCAAAGACATGGTAATAGTATGTATTCTAAATTCACACAAATAATGTTTTCACACTTTTTTGTATAATTTTACAGCTTGATTGGAATTAAAAGCATAAAACAATATAATAATATAATAGTCTGTTCATAATTAATATTTACTTTGATCTCATATGACATCTCAAACATGCACTGTCTCTTTGGTAAATAAATACTTTAACTAAATACATTAAATACTACAAAACCTTTATTAGGACAAAATTCACAGTTGTGATGTAAACGACTGGTAGAATAAGAGTCAGTCATTCACACAAATACTGAAATCACTTCACTCTGTATGTGCATATGTAATAATAATAACAGTCTAGTTCTCCTACAATAAAATCAATAGTAGCAAAAATAAATGATGAATGCATAGTATTTTTTTTAAATATAAGTTTTAAAGTGATCTCCACATAAAGGGGGGAAAAAAATATCTGTTAGCTATACTAAAAATTAAGCAAATGTAAAGAAGCAATTTCGGACAATGTTCTCACCTGTATTCTGATATTTGATCCGGTCTCTTTTCCCGAGAGCGCATCAGATACTCTCACTTTCTTGGACAACATGCGACTGCAGTGTCGTTGTAAGAATTCTGCGCTACATCGACAGAACACTGTCGTGCTGAAGGCAGGAATCCGCTGTAATGTCAACAACATCGTAGCAGCCGAGTGTGAGCGGAGAGATTCAACACGGCTTATGAATGTATGGATCCAGCTTGCTTTTCTCTTCTTCTTTCGCTTTCAATGACGGTGCCTTTCACGTCCAGTAACTGGGATGTAATGTTATTTTTGATAATGTATGATAATAAAACACTAACAGCTCGTTTGGCTGGTCTCTGTTTTGACATTCACGGTGCTCTCCACGCGCTTCCTGAAATCGAATAACGTCACGTACGTAGCGTCCCGTTGGTTGAACTTTGACATGCGCAGTAGATTACTGACAACGTCCGAGTCATTTCAATGAATGTCATCACGTTCCATTAGTTCTACAGCTTCAGTTTCGGAACGTTCACACTTAGTAACACATACAGCTGTTCCCTCACCACAGTGCAACAGTGAAAAGGGACCCCTTTCAAACAGTGTCGCGTTCCGAACGTTGTTTAAGCGACATACACCGGTATTGCGGTATTTTAAAAATTAATATCATAACAAAAATTAACACCGGTATTCGGTATGAACCGGTATACCGCCCAGCACTATTTGTAGGGATATATATTATGGCTGTTTATTACTTTTTTAATTATAATGCGTTTATTATGTCCAGGTACAGTTTGTTTAGCAGCTGAGTTAGCTCATAAAAACAAACTCATTTTCAATATTAATATTAAATATTAATATTAAATTCACTTCAAGCCCATTCATTATCAGCCCACTCATTGGTTCTAGGCTCATTACGAATTGGATATGTGTCCGTAACGTTTCTCGGTTCAGTGAATCCGTGAGTGTATCCGAAACCGCCCTTTATAGCCTACATTACTCCACTAAAACAGTTCACTGAGTAAGTTAATGAAAACGAATGAGCACTGAAATGAAATGGAATGAGCAATGAAACGGACAATGAGTGCGCCGGATCTTCTGTGAACGAATCGTTCAAACCCATTTTGTGAACTAGTCTGTCAAGAAGAACATAATTCCTTCAAGTGGGAAACATAAAATTAATTTTTCCACTAACTTTTTTTCTTCTAAATAAAAAGAGTTTTGACATTTTTACTGAAGGTGACAAATACACATACATAGGCCCTATTATACTAAAATAAAAAGACCATGGTAGAAATAGCCTATCAAGGAATGTTACAATAAATGTTTACCCAACCTTGATTTGTAGTCCTGAAAAAGTGTGAAATTAATAAACCCCTCAGAGAGCCACTGTCACAAAAATGTAACGTTTAAACATAATAATAGCCTATTAGGCTGTAGTTTATCTAAATATAGGCTAGGTTTTAACAGAAGTTCACACTTCACAGAAAATATTTACAGTTTTACAGTCTTCTCAACATGCCACAGAATATCACTGCCTTACAATTTCTGACTGTTTTGCAGAAATTGTATAGTGTGTGAGAGAGGAGCTAAAATTTCAACCTTCTGTTTTACTGACTTTCATAAAGGTCAGTGAAACTGTGCTGTAGGCTTCTAAATATGCATTTTATTTAAAGCGGGTCAGCGAGGTGCAGGGATGTTCCAGGATAATGAAACTTTAGAACAGAAGGGCTGCTCCGAGATTAACATATTCAGATGTCAACTAACTTGCTGGGAAATGCTTTTCAAGAATTCATATCTACTTGTGGGTGTAATTGTAAAAGTGCACTCTTGAAAAACCATCATATCAGTTTTGAAATGCTTTTTAAAAGATGTATCTCAAAACAAAATAAACATGATTTTTATAAACACTGGCTTCCTAAGATGCTTTTAAGAGAAATACGTTATTGCGGGAGTCTCTGAGGGTTAAAATGTTTCTACACTCAAAAAATATTTAGGCCTAAATGTAAGATTTCTGTAGCCTATTAGTCTAGCATATAACATTTTCAGTTGGATTACACAGTTTTTACATAAACAATATTTTTCCATCAAAATGAAACGGGTAAGAAATATGTCAGATGTCTGTAAAAGTACTTATAGTGCATGTGTTTTAAATAAACTATAACCATTTATATATTTATCATCTATAAATCTAATATGTTTTAATAATCTCATAACTTTTAAGTAACTGAATATTGCTTGCACACAGCTAGCCATAGTTTAACAATGTTCATACTTTTTGACTGAATACATTTAATTGTGAACAGATTTATACTGATTTGAATAAATGTATTTTTAAAATATTGTTATTTAAATTAAATCAAACAGATGGAAATAATTAACAATAAACTATGTCATGATTTTTTTTGAGTGCAGAACTCAAACTTACATTTTTCTTATCTGTTTCATTCATGGTTCATTTATGTATGACTGACAAATATGCATCACATTTATTATTATTATTATTAGTAGTAGTATTAGTAGTAGTATTACTATTATTATTTAGTTTGTTAAATCAATGTAACCCATAAATAGGAAATTTAGGCCTAAATATTTTTAGAATGCATATGCATATAATTTTTTTCATGGAAATTCATTGGTCAAAACAAGAACAGGCAAACATTCATGAATCCGTTTCATGTAAAATATGAAGCAATACATCATATATACAACTCACATATGCATTCTAGGGTTAAGCTATGGTGTTTCACTGATTATATGATTGTAGATTCATAACCATAGAATTACAGTGCTCATCTTTTCCATAAGATGGCACTAAAACTCCATCAGTCTGCTATGCAGCGCATCGCACGAGCAGCCATTCAGAGACAAATCTATTTAATTACTTATTTATTAGCTCAGCATCTTCAGCAGTGAATTATTAAAGCAGCTTTAGCGTCTCCGTGGACTGCATCTCACCAAAGGCAATGCTAATGTTATTTTTATGGCATGTTATGTAATTACATTTATCTGTGCCTTTGTTTGCTTTTTTGTGAAATTCAATTTTACAGCAGATTTGATGAAGCTGTGATGCCAAATTCCTTAGCTGATGTTTTAACCTACAGACAGGATTTAATTTCAGTGAACACCCACATAATATTATCTGTTTATACTGAATATATTCTAATGGTAAAGAGAAACATTCTGGGCCGGTTCAGAGCATCCTTATTTCTTCTCGGCCTCAATCAATATGCGATTAACAAACAAAAACGGGGATCTTGTTTTAAAAGCTCTGAGCTCAGCAGAGCCAAGCTCAGAGAGCAGCGGTGTCCTCACCTCTCTCCTGACGGACTCTTCGAGCTGTATTGCCCCTTAATTCTCGGTTTATCATCAATTCCTCCGCAGCTCATGTTATGCATGTGCACTGTAAGCAGCATTGATTTCATGTCACAATGCTCGTTTAGTTCTGATGAAGCCAAAATAGGGAAGTGATCTGAGGGCAAGACTTTGGATGCCTCTCATCCAAACAGTACCAGTCGAGAGAAGTCTTTATGACCTCTGTTTGATAGATGTTCCATTGTCCACTGGATTAACATTGTCTGAGTATTGTTTTAAAGCCCATAAGATGAAAAAGGAATGAGTTTTGAATGTACTAATAACATAAAGGACTACATGATTAAAGTTTAAAGGCCCCATGAAAACAAAATTTGAGTTTTGGCTTAGCTTTGAGAACATGAATATGGGCAAACCATTTTTTTTTTTTGGATGCAAACCTGATCTCTCAAGTGACATCTCAAATTGAAGAAGGTGTCATCCACACACAAAACATACAATAGATTTCTTATTTGTAAAAGGAACTGTTTAAAATGAATTACAACCATAATACAGACACAAACATATTTTTCATTTAACTGCAGTTTCTGCTTTAAAGCAAATGCAATATCCTTCTGGTCAGAATTCAGCATACTAGTGCTCTCACTAATTCTAAAGGCCTGTTTATACCAAAGACGATAACTGTGATGTTAGCAAAAAAGATAGCAGAAAAAAACATAGCAGAGGAATGATATCATCGGAATCAAAAACTCAAAATTATTATTATTTTTTTCCAGACTGCTTTAACACTTCAGAATAGGGAACACATATGGACTATTAATTAAGAGTTTTCACTTATTTATTAGCTCAGCATCTTCAGCAGTGAATTATTAAAGCAGCTTTAGCGTCTCCGTGGACTGCATCTCACCAAAGGCAATGCTAATGTTATTTTTATGGCATGTTATGTAATTACATTTATCTGTGCCTTTGTTTGCTTTTTTGTGAAATTCAATTTTACAGCAGATTTGATGAAGCTGTGATGCCAAATTCCTTAGCTGATGTTTTAACCTACAGACAGGATTTAATTTCAGTGAACACCCACATAATATTATCTGTTTATACTGAATATATTCTAATGGTAAAGAGAAACATTCTGGGCCGGTTCAGAGCATCCTTATTTCTTCTCGGCCTCAATCAATATGCGATTAACAAACAAAAACGGGGATCTTGTTTTAAAAGCTCTGAGCTCAGCAGAGCCAAGCTCAGAGAGCAGCGGTGTCCTCACCTCTCTCCTGACGGACTCTTCGAGCTGTATTGCCCCTTAATTCTCGGTTTATCATCAATTCCTCCGCAGCTCATGTTATGCATGTGCACTGTAAGCAGCATTGATTTCATGTCACAATGCTCGTTTAGTTCTGATGAAGCCAAAATAGGGAAGTGATCTGAGGGCAAGACTTTGGATGCCTCTCATCCAAACAGTACCAGTCGAGAGAAGTCTTTATGACCTCTGTTTGATAGATGTTCCATTGTCCACTGGATTAACATTGTCTGAGTATTGTTTTAAAGCCCATAAGATGAAAAAGGAATGAGTTTTGAATGTACTAATAACATAAAGGACTACATGATTAAAGTTTAAAGGCCCCATGAAAACAAAATTTGAGTTTTGGCTTAGCTTTGAGAACATGAATATGGGCAAACCATTTTTTTTTTTTGGATGCAAACCTGATCTCTCAAGTGACATCTCAAATTGAAGAAGGTGTCATCCACACACAAAACATACAATAGATTTCTTATTTGTAAAAGGAACTGTTTAAAATGAATTACAACCATAATACAGACACAAACATATTTTTCATTTAACTGCAGTTTCTGCTTTAAAGCAAATGCAATATCCTTCTGGTCAGAATTCAGCATACTAGTGCTCTCACTAATTCTAAAGGCCTGTTTATACCAAAGACGATAACTGTGATGTTAGCAAAAAAGATAGCAGAAAAAAACATAGCAGAGGAATGATATCATCGGAATCAAAAACTCAAAATTATTATTATTTTTTCCAGACTGCTTTAACACTTCAGAATAGGGAACACATATGGACTATTAATTAAGAGTTTTCATCCATAAACTCCTAAT